AGGGCCTTCAACTTAACTGGCTGCTTCTTGTTCGTCATGGCCCAACTGAGGGCTGCTGGGAGCAGGGGGTGGGGCTTTTTGCCCTATGAGGAAAGGTTAAAGCGCTTGGGGCTCTTTGGCTTGGAGAAAAGACGGCTGAGGGGCGACATGATTGAGGTTTACAAGATTATGCATGGGACAGAGCAGGTCGAGAAAGAAGTACTTCCCGCCCTTTCTCACAATAGAAGAACTCGTGGGCACTCCATGAAATTGCTGAGCAGTCGGGTTAGAACGGGTAAAAGGAAGTCCTTCTTCACCCAGAGAGTGATTAACACATGGAATTCACTGCCACAGGAAGTGGTGGCGGCTACAAGCATGGACGGCTTCAATAGGGAATTAGGTAAACACATGGAGCAGAGGTCCATCAGTGGCTCTTAGCCACAAGGTACAGATAGGAACTCTCCGTCTGGGGCAAGTGATTGATGCTCTGTCTTCTTGGTGCTTGGGGGGGGCAGCAGTGGGAGGGCTTCTGGTGTCCTGGCCCCACTGCTGGACCTCCTGATGGCAGCTGGTATTTCTGGCCACTGTGTGACAGAGTGTTGGCCTGGATGGGCCACTGGCCTGATCCGACATTGGCTTCTCTTATGTTCTTATGTTCCCCGGATCTGCCTGGGAACGGCCTGCCTTCTGTTCCCAAGCCTCCTTCCCTGGAAGCTCCGGGGATGTGCTTTCAAAGGGCTGCAGGCTTTTTGTTTGTTTGTTTGGGCAACTGAGAAAGAATGAGGGGAATGTAGCAGTCCCAGCAAGGGCTGGGTTGGGTTTCATGAGCCAGGTTGCTCCTGTGGGAAGCTAGGGGGGGGGGCAGCTGGAGGATGGAAGGCAGGAGGCAGATGTGCCCGTGTTCTTCTGGGGTTTATCCCGGCGCTATTTTGTCTGTCCTTTGGCGCGAGAGGCTGCTTCCTCCCCCCCTCCCGCGGCCACGGTGCTGCCGTCTGCAGAGCAGCTTTGTTAATTAGCAGGAGTCGACGCCGCGGCCGTGTAGGAAGGGATTGACTTAGAGGCGACCGTGAGCCAAGGGTAACGCTTTGTTACGGCGGCGGAACACGTCGTCCTGTTCTTGTGTCCTCCTCCTCCTCCTTCTCCGGGCTTTTGCAAGGGTGACATCAGGACATGCCAAGGGGGGGGGGAATTCAACCTGTGGAGCAAGTGGGAAGAAGAGATCTAGGCCAGGAAGTCGGGATGCCAGCCTCCAGGTGGGACCTGGGGATCCTCTAGAATTATACCTCGTCGCCAGACTACACTTTCTCCCCCGGAGAAGATGGCTGCTCTGGAGGGTGGAGAGCCAGTTTGGTGTAGCATTTCAGAGGGTCAGACTCTTAATCTGGAGAACCAGGTTTGATTCCCTGCTCTTCCACGTGCAGCTGCTGGTGGGACCTTGGGTCGGTCACAAGTTCTCTCGGGGCTATTCTCTCTAGAGCAGTCCTCAAAAGAGCTCTCTCAGCCCTGCCTAACTGACAGGGTACCTGTTGTGGGGAGAGGAAGGGAAAGGTGTTTGTAAACCGCTCTGAGACTCCTTCAGGTCGTGAAGGGCGGGGCATAAATCCAATCTTCTCCTCCTCCTCTTCCTCCTCCTCTTCCTCCATGGCACTGTACCCCACTGAGGTCCCTGCCCTCCTCAGACTCCATCCTCAAATCACCAGGAGTTTCCCAACCTGGATCTGGCATCCCTAACTCCCCATCCTCCACTGGTGGCCATCAAAGTTAGTATTGTCTATTCTGATCCTCCAGAGTCTCAGGCAGAGGTATCTCACATCACCTCCTACCTGAGCCTTTTAGATTGGAGATGCCGGGGATTGAACCTGGGACCTTCTGCATGCCAAGCAGAGGCTCTTCCACCTAGCCACAGCCTCTCCCCGAGCAGAGCTTTCTCAGCACTGCCACCACCCCCTAGATGGGTGGTGGCACTGCCCAGGTTGGTGGCAGACTGCAGATGTGCTTGTACCTTGGGGGGCAGAGTATTGGTTTTGAGCCCAGAAGCTTTTGGGTTGATCTCTGGCGTCTCCAGAGAAAAGGGGTTCTTTGATAAGGTGGCTGAGAAAAGAGACCCTTTTTGAAAAGGGTCTTTGATAGCGGGCCTGAGAGACCCTGGAGAATGGCTGCTGGTTGCAGCAAAAGTGTCCGGGACTTAGACAAGACAAAGGGTCTGTCTCCGTAGAAAGCAGCAGCTTGCGTTCCAGCGTGCCTCTTCAGGTTTCCCGGTGCCTGCGGGCCAGTTGCATCAACCCTGTATGCTCAGGAATTTGTGTTTCTTCAGCCTCGCTTATCTTGATCTGTGAAATGGGCATAACAGTGGTCTAACCCATCTATGAGATGGATTGGCTCAATCAAGGAAGCCACGGCCCTCAAGGCTTGAGCAAGGCTGTTAACGATAGGTTGGAGGTCGTTAATTCATTGAGTTGCCAGAAGTCAGGGGCAACATGAGGGCACTCAAGGGAGGTATTTGTGAAGGGGGTTGGACTAGATGACCCTGGAGGTCCCTTCCAGCTCTATGATTCTGTGATTCTAACTCATTTAGGGCCGTTGTGAGCAGTGTTCCCTCTAAGCTGAGTGAGTGTGAGCTAGCTCCCAGTTTTTGAGCCTCTGGCTCACACATTTTTGTCTTGGCTCAGGAAGGAGGGCTCCAGAGCACACTAATTTATGTGGTAGCCAAATCGCTCACTCACAACCTTAATGCCGGTAGCTCACAAAGTGGAATATTTGCTCACAAGACCCCACAGCTTAGAGGGAACATTGGTTGTGAGGTATGATGGGAAACTAGTTGTGACGCGTGTTGTCTGTACTCAAGCGCTTGAGGAGTAATTCAGGACAACGGAATGATCTGAACGGGTTTGGTTTGTTTTCTCTTGGTCCGTCTGTGGGCTTTGCCACAGCCGTCTGCCTCGCATCGCCGTGCCTTCCACCACAGTCCCAAAGGCACTGAGAAGGTGTCCCTTGGCACCTTTGGAATCCTGATACGTTGTGATTGGCGCAATCACAAAATGGCTGCCGCAGAAGGCGAAGCCCAGCTCCAAAGTGGCTGCCGCTGCTTCCCTTCTGCCACACAGCGACGATCCGTGTGCCTTGGTGACAGCTGCTGCCACAAAGCAAGAGATTTCAAAAATCTGCGCAGCCATCAGATTTCTGATGCTCTGTCAGAAGCGTTACTGGGTAAAAGGCCCCAACAACCTTTTAGGGAACATTGGTTGTGAGGTATGATGGGAAACTAGTTGTGACGCGTGTTGTCTGTACTCAAGCGCTTGAGGAGTAATTCAGGACAACGGAATGGTCTGAACGGGTTTGGTTTGTTTTCTCTTGGTCCGTCTGTGGCCTTTGCCACAGCCGTCTGCCTCGCATTGCCATGCCTTCCACCACAGTCCCAAAGGCACTGAGAAGGTGTCCCTTGGCACCTTTGGAATCCTGATACGTTGTGATTGGCGCAATCACAAAATGGCTGCCGCAGAAGGCGAAGCCCAGCTCCAAAGTGGCTGCCGCTGCTTCCCTTCTGCCACACAGCGACGATCCGTGTGCCTTGGTGACAGCTGCTGCCACAAAGCAAGAGATTTCAAAAATCTGCGCAGCCATCAGATTTCTGACGCTCTGTCAGAAGCGTTACTGGGTAAAAGCCCCAACAACCTTTTAAAAACTTTTGGTGGGCATTGGTAAAGGTGTCAGTGGGTAAAGGTGTCAGTGGGTGTCCACAGGCCCCAAATTGGGGACCCCTGCTCTAGAGGAATCCTTTCCCCACTGAACTTGCGTGCCAGGGAACCTCTGAGCATTGTCAACTCTGCGGCATGTTCAGTTCGTGCGGGCTAGGCTAGTTGTTCCCGCAAGCAAACAGAGAATGCGTGTGAGGTCTTCTAAAGGCTGGGGATGCCGAAAAGATCCACAGAGACTGGAACGTGTGTCTCCTCACCCCAATTACGGGTCTGACCGAGGCAGCCCAAGATTTTCTAGAGCTGAGCTTGATGACCCCTGAGAGAACCATTGTGGAGTAGTGGCTCTCTGGGCGACCTTGAGCTAATCACAGACTCTCAGCCTACCTTTCAAGGTCGTTGTGAGGAAAAAATGGAGTGTAAAAGAACGATGGATCCTTGTTTGGGGGGGGGGGAAGACAGAGTAGAACCGAAGTAAAATAAAGAAAAATAAAATAACCAGAAGAGCTCTTCCTGTCCGAATGCCGCCAAAGGTGGCCTCTCTCTCCCATATTTGAGTAACAAGTTGTTTTCCTTCTTTTTTTCCCCCCAGTTACTCACCATGACTGGAGTATTAAAACGGAAATATGACGAGTTGGAAGACGACGCCCCGTATTCCTCCTCCTCTTCCTCCTCCTCCCCTTTCTCCTCCTCGTCTGCTTCTTCAGGCTGGGACTCGGATGAGGAAAACTCCCGAGGAGACGTCAAGCCCGGCCCGGTTTTGAACGCCGACTTCACTCGTAAGTATGGCCGCCTGTGTGATGTGGCGTTGGCAGGCTTCCCTGTGGAGCGCTCTGGAAGCCAGTGGTAGGAAGTTATGTGCAAAATTTACCTCAGGCTGGAGACCTCGGTGAAGTCTGAAGAAAGAAGCAGTGACTCACGAAAGCTCATCCCCTGTCACAAATTTTGTTAGTCTTTAAGGCGCCAGTGGCCTCTTGCTCTTTTCTATTGGTAAAGTCTTCTTCAATTAAATTGGATTGGGCAATCGTAGGCAGAGAAAGATGAGCCAATGAAAGCCAAGGGGAATTTGGAAGTCAAGAACAAGGAGGGTTGGCTGGTTTGGGAGGTAATTCAATGCATAAGAACGGAAGAGAAGCCATGTTGGATCAGGCCAGTGACCCATCCAGGCCGACACTCCGTGTCACACTGTGGCCAAAACCCAGGGGCCATCAGGAATTCCCCCAGCATGGCCAGAACTCCAGAAGCCCTCCCACTGTTGCCCCCCCAAGCACCAAGAAGACAGAGCATCACTGCCCCAGACATATAAACATAAGAGAAGCCATGTTGGATCAGGCCAATGGCCCATCCAGTCCAACACTTTGTGTCACACAGTGGGCGAAACCCAGGTGCCTTCAGGAGGTCCACCAGCAGGGCCAGAGCGCCCTCCCGCTGTTGCCCCCCAAGCACCAAGAACACAGAGCCTCACTGCCCCAGACATAAGAACATAAGAGAAGCCATGTTGGATCAGGCCAATGGCCCATCCAGTCCAACACTTTGTGTCACACAGTGGGCGAAACCCAGGTGCCTTCAGGAGGTCCACCAGCAGGGCCAGAGCGCCCTCCCGCTGTTGCCCCCCAAGCACCAAGAACACAGAGCCTCACTGCCCCAGACATAAGCACATAAGAGAAGCCATGTTGGATCAGGCCAGTTGCCCGTACAGGCCAACACTGTGTGTCACACAGTGGCCAAAGCCCAGGTACCATCAGGAATTCCCCCAGCATGGCCAGAACTCCAGAAGCCCTCCCACTGTTGCCCCCCAAGCACCAAGAAGACAGAGCATCACTGCCCCAGACATATGAACATAAGAGAAGCCATGTTGGATCAGGCCAATGGCCCATCCAGTCCCACACTCTGTGTCACACAGTGGCCAAAACCCAGGTGCCACCAGGAGGTCCACCAGCGGGGCCAGAACTTCAGAAGCCCCCCAGGCACCAAGAATACAGCGTGTGAGTTCTGCAGGTTGTTGGCTGGGGCACATCGCTGGCTAATCTGAGTTTGGGAGGTATTAAAAATGTTTTGGAAGTGAGCAGTGTGGAGATGGAGCTTTGTGGGGGAGAGGCCACGGTGCAGCAGCAGAGCATCTGCCCGGCACACCGAAGAATCCAAGTTCAGTCCCCAGCATCGCCAACAGGAAGGATCAGGTACTAGGTGATGTGAAAGACCAGTGTGGTCTTAGACTGTAGGGATAGGATCTGGGAGTCCCAGGTTCGAATCCTCACTCTGCCAGGGGAGCCTGCTGGGTGCCTTTGGGCCAGTCACGCACTCTGCGCCTGAGCACCCCCCGCAGAGCGGATGTGAGAGTAAAACGGAGGCGAGGAGAATGACGTAAGTCACTTTGGGGAGAGAGGCGGAACGTCAACGAAGCCAGTCAATCAAAGCCCTGCGCCTGAGACCCCGGAGAGCCGCTGCCAGTCAGAGTAGACGAGACTGAGCTTGGCAAATCAGCGGTCTAAGCAGTGTCGTGGGTTCGGTTGACACAGGAGCTGTAGGTCCATACATGGAAGCGAACCGGTTAGTTGACTGCAAGTGGGGATCTGGGTTCGAGTCCGGTTGTGCCTCAGAGAGCCAGTTTGGTGTCGTGGTTAAGTGCGCGGACTCTAATAAGGGAGAGCCAGGTTTGATTCCCCACTCCTCCACTTGCACCTGGCTGGATGACCTTGGGCAAGCCATAGTTCTGATAAGAGCTGTTCTCGAAAAAGAGCAGTTACTGTCAGAGCTCTCTCAGCCCCACCTCCCTCACAGGGTGTCTGTTGTGGGGAAGGGAAGGGAAAGGAGATTGTCAGCCGCTCTGAGACACCTTTGGGTAGTGAAGGGCAGGGTATAAATCCAATCTCCTCCTCCTCCTCCCCCTCCTCCTCCTCCTCTTCTTCTTCTACCAACAGGGTTCTTGGGGTATGGGTTTTCGAGAGTCAGAGTTCTCTTTGTCAGATACCAACTGGGGATTTAGTTCTGGGCATGTCAGTTTCCTAAGCAAGCATGTTTTGAACTGCTCTCAGGCAAGGCAGAGGGTGTTCCGTTTTCCTAGGGTCTCCTCGTTTTGGACTTCTCCCTAGAGTCCCAACGCAGACGACACCTGTCTTGTGAGAACATGGTTTTCTGCTACCCTTTTCACGAAGGGCAGCATTTTAAATCATGCGCACTCTCTTGCTGGACCTCCGAGAATATTTTGCTCCTACGGTCTACTTAGCAGCCGCCGGCAAACGTACCCCGGTCTCTGAATGCCTTGGAAATCGTCGCCGTTGACAAAAGAGCCTTTCTTTTTGTTTTTCTGGCTTTTGTGCGGCAACAATGAACTTTCTGTCTTCCCTGGCTCGTTTGGAGGGGGGAAGAAAGGGGTTGCAAACAATTTGAGCAGAGACTGTAAGAAGCTAAAGCAGAATATTAAAGGGCTAGCGAATAACCGTGTCCTGTTATATTCTCTCCCCCCCCCCAGTTGGCTCAGCGTGAAATATGCATTTTGACATGATTGAGCGATAAGGGAACACCCCTTTTGACTCAGTGGCAGAAATCAGGGATATCTTGAGCGTCTTGAGTCTCGGGCAGGTTCACATGAGGACAGAAGGCTCCGGATGCCTGTAGTGCTCATTGGTGTTGACAGCTACTACAGGCATCTGAGGGGGAGAACTCCTTCCAGTCCTGGCCTTGGCCCCGCACTTTTGAACAACATGCACTGCATGGGAAGCTCAAAGGCAAAGACTTCAAAACACACACACAGACACACACACAATCTTTCCTGAGTCCTTGGACCCCAGGAACACCTATGCGTCAGGTCTTTCCAAAGTCCTTTTTCTTGGACATTTGGTGTTGCTTATTGCCGTTTTGATGGGCCTCTTTGAAAGAACCCTTAAAAATTTTTTTTAAAATCTCCCATTAGATAGAAGTTGCAAAAAGACCTATTTGGATTAAGGGAACATTGCGAAAGAAATTGTGCAAGAGTTGCGTTATGAGCTTGGTTTTCTGTCCCAAGTACTGCTGATAGCTTAATTTTGCAGGATCGAGGTTACGGTGCCTTAAAAAACGATGCGGCTTAACATCTTGCATCGACAATCACCCTTTGTGCAAAAGATCTGGGGAGGCTGGTAGGCGCTGGAAACCGGTCACTATAGATACTGCATTTCTAATCCTCTGCTCCCAGACTTCCTTCGCAGCCGCTGAGCTCAGCTCTGGTCTCCAGAGAGAAGTGGGCCTCATTATTTAATATAAAGAGGACCTGTGCCAATTTTTAAGTAAATGGGTTCCAGATCGATCTGGCGAAACCAGCGCAAACGTGTGCCGCAGATGCACTCAGATTGGTTTGACCCTGGCTTGGCTCCGTTTAATTGAATCCAGTAAATTGCCAACTTAAGCTTAAACGGCTGTAAGCTAAGTAGATCTGGAATGCACGTGTGTAGCAGACCAAGAGAGAGCAATCGTCGGCTTGCAGCAGAAATGATTCCTTCCTCTCGGGCTCGATGCTGTAGTAACATCATCTTAATCTTCACGCCGGCACACGGCTTTCTGCATCTTCTTTTGGGGTCGTTTCTGGGTAATTGAAATAAATAGTTCCGAACGGAGGGCGCCGTAGAAACGTCTTGCGAAGTCGTAACGTCCACGGGCAATCTGCATATTTTGGCTCTGTGCGGTCGGGTTCATTTGCATGCCATTTGCATAGCCACAGCAGGTGTCGGGCCACAGCTGGTGGACACGCTGGGTTTGTTTTGTGAGGGTTGTTTTGGAATTCAAGCCCCCCCCCCCAATATGTGAAACGGCAACAGGCTAGAACCAGTGCTCCCTCTAAGCTGTGGAGTCTTGTGAGCAAAAAAATTCTACTTTGTGAGCAACTGGCATTAAAGTGGTGAGCGAACAATTTGGCTACTGTGTAAATTAGTTTGCTCTGGAGCCATCCCTTCCTGAGCTAAGACAAAAATGTGTGGAGCTGGAGGCTAAAAAACGGCGAGCTAGCTCACACTAACTCAGCTTAGAGGGAACACTGGCGAGAACGGGAGCGATCATGGATTTGCTGTTTGGTTTGGGGACCGATAGCCAGGGCCGTGAGCCAGGCAGAACGCAACACGCTCGAATGCTTTCGGCTTCTTAAAACAATCCACAAGCTTCTAGCCACTATGACTATGAAGAATGTCTGCACTTCTCAAGTCTACGATTAGATGAAATTTTGGACCAAGTGGGGAAGGGGATGACCAGGGGAGAGAGCCAGTGAGGTGTAGTGGTTAACAGTGCCGGAGTAGCATCTGGGAGACCCAGGTTCGAATTCCGGCTTGCGCCATGGAATTTTTCCAGGTGACCCTGGGCCAGTCACACTCTGTCGCCGTAACCTACAAGGTTGTTGTGAGGATGAAATGGAGAAGAAAACGCCGTAAGCCAGGGTATAAATGAAATACATAACCAACTGGCACAGAATAAATTCTACAAACCAGTTGTTGCTTATTGCTCTGCAGTTCTGTAGCTTCTACAGATGGCAGATGTTAATGCTTCAGAACTTGATTTACGTTGACTGGGAGTATTTTGTTGTTGTTTTGGTATTTTTTTAATATGTGCACGCATGTGTGTGTGTGCACGCACGTGGAAGTCAAGGTGGCCTCTGGGGACCGAACCCCTACTGGGGGCCTAGAGGATATCCAGAGAGGTGGCTGAATAAAGCCTGCCCCCGCCTCCCGCCTCTGGCATTCCTCGAAGGTCTCCCATCCGAGTACTTGCCGGAGACGACCCTGCTTAGTTTCTGAGATCTGATGAGATCGGGCTTGCCTTTGCTTCCCAGGTCAGGGCGACTCAGAATATTTGTATAAGCCTCACACACAGCAAGAGTAAGTGTGTGGAAGTTCTTGGATCTCACCTTCATCTCAACTCTGCATTGACCTTCCCTGTACAGCCGTGTGAGCTGGTGTGAGCTGGGGATATTAACCCTGAGCTCTGGGTTCAAATCTTGCGTAGCTGTTGGAACCCCACAAGCGATGCCAGATGGCTCCATCTGCTCCTAAATCCCAGAGATGTCCTTCCCCCCACCCTTGCTCCTCTGAAGTCATCTCTGCAACTAGAAGTTAGAAACGAAGCAAAAGCTCTCTCTGTAGCACATTGAAAATATGGGCTAATTGACTTTGAAAGTAGATAATGCCATATTAGGGGGGAAATAAGTTTGCTTCCAGGTGGCTCTTGGCTTAACAAAACAGAGACAATGATGGGTAAGAACCAGGGCTATTTTTGGGCAGGAACGCACAGGAACGGAGTTCCGGCTAGCTTCAGAGTTGGCCACGCCCACTACAGCCAAAACTTCTGCGTGCGTGGCTACAGAGGGAAGGCCTGGAGAGCGACCCCCCGGCGACTCTGAGGCGGGTGGGCCAGGGCCCCCCCTGAAAGGATCGGGGAGGCATTTAAATGCCTCCCCATGCCTTCCCCGGCCTGTCCAAGGGCCAGCCTGCCCAGACAAGCCAAGAGAAGGCAGTTTAAACTGCCTCCCCTCTAAGGGCCAACTTGCCCGGGCTCCCGCAGCCGTGGGGCGCCCAGGCAAGCCAAGGGAAGACATAGGGGTGTGGCCTAATATGCTAATGAGTTTCTGCTGCTGGTGTGGCCTATTATGATAATGAGTTCCTGTTGTTGGGCGTGGCCTATTATGATAATGAGTTCCTGCTGTTGGGCGTGGCCTATTATGATAATGAGTTCCTGCTGGGCTTTTTTTACAAAAAAGGCCCTGGTGATCCCTGTCTTAGCCGTTCATGCCGTATGGCTGATCCAGGTTAGGCTGAGAGAAGGGTGGCTTGCCTACAGGTTCCTGGTGAGGCCAGGCTTGAAGCGAGATTTGAACTTGAGATATCCTGGATAACGTTGTGCGCATTTTGCCACCGCGGCGCCTCTGGAAGACCCACGATCATTCCGGTAAGGAAAGAGCAAGAGTCCAGCAGCACCTTAAAGACTACCAAAATCTGCGGCCGGGAATGAGCGTTCGAGGGGCACCGCTCACTTCTTCCGATACAAGGCGTGGGCAGTGGCTCACGAAAGCTCCTACCCTGCCGAAAAATTTTCAGGTCTTTCAGGTGCTGCTGGACTCTTGGCTCTTTTCTACCGCTGCAGACAGACGAGCACGGCTACCCGTCTTGATCTGTTCCCGTAAGGCTTTCTGACGCCCTGAAGTATCTCCGTCTTTCCACATCCTTGTAGGAGCGACCTTTGAGGTTGCGTTCCCCCCCGGGACTTCTGTTTGGTATTTCCGTGTCTTCGGAATCGACACCGTTCCCGGAATGGCCCCTTTTTATTTGGGGGGAAGAAACCCCCCCTCTTCTGGCTTATATTTAAATTCCTGTTAGCATAAGGTGGAAGAAGGAAGCCCATCTTGCGTTAACCTTTTGAAGTTTCTAGAATGTGCCGTGGCCGGCGCTTTAAGATCGGCTCGGCACACTCGGAGCTGCTGCCCTGTTTGCTCTGCGATCACCTGCCTGAAGATTAACTGCTTTGCAGCTGCTCTTAAATTAGCCCCGGGAGAATAGACTGCAGATTTGCAGTTTCTCCCAGAGGGCAGCGGAGGAAATGTCCTCGCAGCTGTTTTGATGATCTGCTGTTTTCTCCTTCTCCGACAAGCCTCGCTCCCTACCTCCCCCCTCGCCTTGTTTGGGTGTCTGTCTGTCTGCATTCCCTATTTTCCTGCCCCACAAAGTCCCTCCCTCCTCCCAAGTTGCTGGGCCTGACATCATGCAGGGCAGCGGAGGAAATGTCCTCGCAGCTGTTTTGATGATCTGCTGTTTTCTCCTTCTCCGACAAGCCTCGCTCCCCACCTCCCCCCTCACCTTGTTTGGGTGTCTGTCTGTCTGCGTTCCCTTTTTTCCTGCCCCACAGAGTCCCTCCCTCCCCCCAAGTTGCTGGGCCTGACATCATGCAGATAAATTCAGCCGGGGTCCAGAACAAATATTTTGAGTCCCAGCGGCACCTTTGAGACAAACAAAATGTCATTCAAGGTTACGCGCTTTCGTGTGCACGCACCCTTCTTCAGATACAACGAAATGGACATTACTAGTCTGTGCATATGCATAGAGGGTGAGCAGTAAATTAGCATACAGCGTAATGAAGATGTTTAACAGACTCAAGGACCAAACAGGAATGACAAGCTTAGTTTATATGGTCACCGTTTGTTTGGGTTTAATTCTGGGGGGGGGGACAACGACACATAGTGAAGGAAATAAATACATCACAATTGGAGATTGATGGGCAGATGTATCCTTAATTGCGGAATGTTGAGAGTAATTAACTGTCTGCTCACCCTCTACCTATATGTATGGACTGATCATTTCCCTGTCGTCGTATCTGAAGAAGTGTACGTCCACACGAAAGGAGGTACCTTATATAAAACTTTGTTGGTCTTCAATGTTGGACCAGAACCGACGGGTTGAAATTAAGTCAAACGAGTTTGCAGCTAAACATTAGGAATAGCTGCCTGATAGTTGGAGTGGTTCCTCCGTGGAACAGGCTTCCTCGGGAGGTGGTGAGCTCTCCTACTTTGGAGGTTTTCAAACAGAGGCTAGATGGCCATTTGATAGCAATGCTGATTCTGTGAACTTGGGCAGATCATGAGAGGGAGGGCAGGAAGGGTTGCATAAGTGGTTAGTTCTCGTGGCCCTTTCTTACACGCCCAGGGAAATGCCGATCACCACTTTGGGGTCAGAAAGCAATTGTTCTCCTGGCTAGTTTGGCCGGGGATCCCGGAGATTTTTGCCATTTTCTTGGCATGGAGCAGGGGTCACTGGGGGTGTGGAGGGAGGGAGGTATTTGTGAATTTCCTGCATTTGCCGGGGGTTGGACTAGATGCCCCTGTTGGTCCCAGCTCTATGATTCTAAGCTGCCACTGGACTCAGACTTTAACGTACAGATAAGCTCACTTGTTTAAAAGTAACTTGCAGTCAGAGCAGGCTGCCAAATTTCCCAGCTTGCCTGATTTTGTACCATTCTGGTGTCTGAGCTGGATTTCCCGGAGCACAGGACTTGAGCTTGCTGCTTGCTTATTTTGGGGGCACGGGTGTGCTCAGCGCAGTTCCTGTGGCACAAAAAAAAGCCTCGTCCAAATGTCCACAGGCACCTTTCAGTTTATATGTTTGTGGCAGTGCATCTTCTTGCAGTGGTAATGGCAGATGACCGGACAACCTGCAGTGCATAGGAATGGGCCTCCCATATGACTGATTTCCTCCCCCCCCCGCTTGTAGAAACTTGTTAATCCTGAAAATCCTAATTTTATATATGTATTTTTAAAGCAAGGTTCTAGTCCTCATGGGTACAGGGCAGAATGAAACCGAAGCAATAGATATAGTCAGTTGCTCAATTCAAGCCCAGGAGCACCTTAGCAACCAACAAGGTTTTCGGGGTATAAGTTTTTGAGAGTCAGACCTCCCTTCATCAAATGCTTGTATCTGACGAAGGGAGCTTTGACTCTCGAAAGTTTATACCCCGGAAATGTTGTTGGTCTCTTAAGGGGCTCCTGGACTCAAATCTAGCTGTTGTTGTTGTTGTTGTTGTTGTTGTATCGTAATGCATTGTGTGCAGTGTGGCCAGGAGATCCTAAGGTTGTCTGGCAGCCAGAAGTTCTGGCTCTTTTAACGTCATGCACCACTAAATGGCGATCTAGACTTGTCAGAGGTGCCTGCCTTTGCCTCACTGCCCTAAGTATTCCTTGGAGGTCACCCTTCCAAATCCTGGCCAAGGCCGACCCTGCTTAGCTTCGAGATCTGGTGAGATCGGGCTAGCCTGGGTCGTCTGTTCTGTTGCAGACGAACACAGTCAGCCACCCTCTGAAAGTTTCGTCATCGTTGGCCTCCTGGTGCCTTCTGGGTCTTGTTTCTGTTGCAGCTATAGGGCCTTCCTTTAAAAATCTTGCAGACAATGGGGCAACACGGATGCTTACCTGGCTCGTCCTTTTCCTCTCCCTAGCCACGTCCATCCTGAAGAAGAGCAAGCGCCTCAAGCGGAACACCGTGGAGTTCGACCGCGTCACCGTCTTCTACTTCCCGCGCTGCCAGGGTTTCACCAGCGTGCCCAGCCGTGGCGGCTGCACCCTGGGCATGGTCAGCCGGCACAGCTTCGCCAGGGAGTTCACGTTGGCTGAGTTTTCCACCGAACAGGAGGCCGTCCGGCGGGAGAAGCTCAAGGAGCGGTTGAAAGAGGAGAGGCTGGAAGCTCTGAAGTGGAAAGTAAGTCGGGTTTTGCTCGTAAGTGCATTGCTCTTAGCAATGAGGTCTGGGGGAAAGTGAAAGGGGGTGTCTAGGTTTCTGTCCAGTTTGATGTGTCTGATAATGTGTGGGGGGGGGGTGTCCGCAAAAGCTTATGCTGGAATAAAGTGCTGGTCCTCTTTAAGGTGCCGCGAGACCCCTATTTTATCTATCTATCTATTTTTGGGATTTTTATTCCGCCCTCCCCAAACGGGCTCGGGGCAGACGACAACAAATCGAGTCAAAAGACGCGTCGCAATAGAATCACATTAAAATCATAAAAACAATGAACAATAAAATTGGTAGCAGCGATTCTTACAGGGGCTACTGTAAGCTCTTGGAGGACTGGCTACATTAGAGGGGGTGTCGCCTAATATGCAAAGGAGTTCCTGCTACAAAAAGAGCCCTGCGAGAAGTATTTCTGGATTTGAATTCAGGGGGGAGACCTTGTCGGTGCCGAGCTTCCCCGGTGCTTCCTCGTCCTCATTTAACACAAACGTCGTCTTCTGCTCCTCTCCCAAACAGCTGACTGCGAGCGGCACGAAGGAGTCAGAGGAGGCCAACCAGCTGACGACGGAAGACATCTCCGACGACGACATCGACCTCGCCGGCGTGGAGCCGGAGGACGGCTTCTTCCTCCAGCCCTACCCGGCCAAGAAGAGGCGGTCTCTGCTCAAGGCCCTGGGCGTCAAGAAGATCGACAAGGAGGAGAAGCGGGAGCTCCACAGCATCCGCCTCTCCCGGGAAGACTGCGGCTGCGACTGCCGGGAGTTCTGCGATCCGGAGACGTGCAGCTGCTGCTTGGCGGGCATCAAGTGCCAGGTGCGTGACCCCCGCCGGGTGCGTCTCGCGGAGGGACCCGGGACGGGATAGTGGAATGTGGACCGGAAAAGGATTTGGGGGGACTCGAGCTGAGCGGGGCTTTTCTCTGCAGGATGACGTCCCTGCTGGGTGGAGAATCCTGCCTTTTGCTGTCGGGGAGGAGTGCCGGGAGGGGGGGGGCACACACCTCAGTGGCCCTTGCCATTCTTGCCTCCTTTTTTGCATCTGGAATCGGCGGGGTTCTGAACAGCTGCTATAGAATGATGGTTTCCAAAAGCGTTTTTCATGTATACCTTGGCTTCTTCTTGCTACTGACCTGGATGGCCCAGGCTGGCTTGGTCTTAGAACTGGAGAATCTAACCTTGGATTGTAATTGGATGGGATACCAAAGAAGCCCAGGCTTGCTGTGCAAAGGCAGACAATGGCAAACAGCCTCTGTTCACCTCCTGCCTTGAAAGCCATCTGTGGTCACCATAAGTTGGGTGCAATGATGAGACTATAGAAGAGCCCTGCTGGATCAGAGCAGTGGTCCATCTAGTCCAGCATCCCGTCTCACAGTGGCCAGCCAGTTCCTCTGGAGGGCCAACAACAGGGCAGAGAGGCTGAGGCCTTCATAAGAATATCAGAAGAGCCTTGTTAGGTCAGACCAATAGTCCATCTAGTCCAGCATCCTGTCTCACACAGTGGTCAGCCAGTTCCTCTGGAGGGCCAACAACAGGGCACAGAGGCCGAGGCCTTCATAAGAACATCAGAAGAGCCTTGTTGGATCAGACCAATAGTCCATCTAGTCCAGCATCCCGTCTCACACAGTGGCCAGCCAGTTCCTCTGGAGGGCCAACAGCAGGGCACAGAGGCTGAGGCCTTCATAAGAACATCAGAAGAGCCTTGTTGGGTCAGACCAATAGTCCATCTAGTCCAGCATCCTGTCTCACACAGTGGCCAGCCAGTTCCTCTGGAGGGCCAACAGCAGGGCACAGAGGCCGAGGCCTTCATAAGAACATCAGAAGAGCCTTGTTGGGTCAGACCAATAATCCATCTAGTCCAGCATCCTTTCTCACACAGTGGCCAGCCAGTTCCTCTGGAGGGCCAACAACAGGGCACAGAGGCCGAGGCCTTCATAAGAACATCAGAAGAGCCTTGTTGGGTCAGACCAATAGTCCATCTAGTCCAGCATCCTTTCTCACACAGTGGCCAGCCAGTTCCTCTGGAGGGCCAACAGCAGGGCACAGAGGCCGAGGCCTTCATAAGAACATCAGAAGAGCCTTGTTGGGTCAGACCAATAATCCATCTAGTCCAGCATCCTGTCTCACACAGTGGCCAGCCAGTTCCTCTGGAGGGCCAACAGCAGGGCACAGAGGCTGAGGCCTTCCCCTGATGAGATCATCAGAAGAGCCCTCCTGGATCAGTCCAGCATCCTGTCTCACCCAGTGGCCGACCAGTTCCTCTGAACATCCAACAACAGGGCACAGAGGCCAAGGCCTCCCCCTGACAAGAATATAAGAAGAGGCCTGCCGGATAAGACTAATAGTCCATCTAGGCCAGAATCCCGTCTCACACAGTAGCCAGCTGGTTCCTCTGGAGGGCCAAAAAGAGGACATAGAGGCCGAGGCCTTCCCCTGATGTTGCCTCCTGGCTCTGGGGTTTAGAGGCTTAGTGCCTCCGAATGTGGAGGTTCCCCTCAGTCAGCATGGCTAGTAGCCATTGATGGACTTATCCTCCATGAATTTATCTAATCCCCTTTTAAAGCCATCTGTTCATGTGGCCCTCACTACCTTCTCTGGTAGCGAATTCCGCATTTTAATCACTCCCTGTGCGAAGTACTATTTCCTTTTGTCTGTCCCGAACCTACCGCCCATCCGCTTCATTCGATGCTCTTGAGTTCTAGTCCTAGATGATGGCGTTTCCACCACCACCAAGTGTGAAGCACCCCAAAAAGGGCTCTCACATTGCCAGATGTCAACTCAGATTTCTTCTTTCTGATAGACTGTTCTCCCATTCTGTTGAGAGCCTTAGGTGGTGATGAGAGGAACTTGTTAGTATGAACTGGTCCCAAGAGGCTTGCGGCTAAAAAAAAAAAGAGTCAGTATTATCTATGTCCCCACCACCCCCACCACCACAGTGCTTGGCTAACATTCTGTGTCTTTTTTTTTTTTGCGACAGATGGATCACACCTCGTTTCCTTGCGGCTGCACAAAAGACGGCTGCGGCAACACGGGCGGGCGCATAGAGTTCAACCAGGCCCGAGTGCAGACGCACTTCATCCACACCATCATGAAGCTGGAGCTGGAGAAGAACCAGCAGAGCAGCCAGAGAAGCACGGAGCCCGAGCCGCCGTTCCCGGACAGGCTCCACCCCTTTGGGTGTCCGGTGGGCAAGACGGCGTTCGAGGAGCGGACGCCCCCCCTGGCGCCCGCCTTCCAGTTCAACATGGACTTGGAGGCGATTGGCGAGAACAGCTGCAGTAGCGACATGACCGACTCTTCCGCGTCGTCCAGTCAGAGCGAGGATCTGGAAGAGCCGTACGAGGCTGCCCCCTCGGAGAAGTCGCAGTCGGACGTCGACGACGACGGCCTGGCGCGGATACTCCACTTCAACGACTCCGACGTGGAAGAGGAGAGGAGCGCCGGGAGCAGCTGCCAGGATAACTTGAGCGCATTCCACCCGACCGACTTCTTCAGCACGGACATCGAAGGCCACTGCGTCGCCGACGCCGCCGTGAAGCTGGACGCCGGGAGCGCCTTGCGCCACTTGCCCAACCTCACGGAGTGTCTGGACGAAAATGCCAACCAGGATGCCAGCTGCTTTCTAGAGGAAACCTCCAGCGGAGCACTCTGCGGGGGCAACCCGTGCTGCCCGCCGTCCTCCGCAGAGCAGTGTTCCCGGAACTACATGGACCTGAGCCTCTCCTCGGACTCGCTGGATTTCTTCCAGTCATTCTCAGACTATAACTTAGGACCACTTTATAACTCCTTGAAGGAATACGAGAACCTGGACAACTTTTCAGCGCTGCAGCTCCAGCTGCCAAATTTTCCCAACATGCCCCAGGTGGGGGACCAGGGCACCTGCTTTTTAGAGTCTTTGATTGGCTTATTGGACTCTGTCCCAGAAACCTCGGTGCCTTTTACAGACAATCAGCTTTTAGAAGATGCCATGAAGTCATCGCTAATGGAGACGGTGAAGGTTTGAAATTTGACTATGGGGGGAAACCCCACCCCCCCTTTGGAAACTTTTTAAGTGCTTGATTTAAGTGCTTGATTTAAATAAGCAGGCCTTCCCGCAAGAGAAGGAAATGCTACCGAGAGCTTTGGAAGCGAGCAAATAATAGTTTGTTCCTTTTTCCCCCCCCTAACACTTTGTAATTCTGCAGTTACAATCAGTTTTCTTACTGTTTCTGCAAAAACTCTCTGCCTTGTCATGGCATTGGTTGGGGAGGGAGGGGGGCAAAGAGGAAAGACAGCTTTGCGAAACGATCCAAATTTACCTGCATTTTGTATATGGGGACGGGGAAACCTTTGGGGACGTATTCCTTATGTTTAACCTTGTGGGTTGTCCACAGAGCACCTTCAGCCATCATTTATGGTGTTGGCGGGCAATGTCTCAAATCACTTTGGGATTTATATCTAAATATCTATATATTTATTGTGCAAATGAGTTGCTCGAGAGCGAGCTCTCACTTAAATGGGAAGACGTTTACATTAATAAAAAAGAAAAGAAAGAACCCCATTCGCTATTATATGCATAGCCATTTTCCTCCTTCCTATTTATTGCAAATTTCCCCGATTTTCAATAGCCACGGAAGCTAGAACTGAGCATGAAACCTCTATTTAAATTGCTAATACCTCAGATGTATTATGTGTACAATCATATATTTTTTTTTGCATAATATATCTGTATTTATTTATTTGTGAACGCTTTCATGCAAGGGTTTCTCAAGGGCCGGAAGGTGGGAAATCGGTCTTTCGTAGCACAGACCCCCCCCCCCTTGGGACGTTCCCCTGCCCTCCTTCGAGAGAAGCCGTCAAATGGCTTTTAGACCTGTTTAGTTTTTCAGCTCGCTGCAATTCAGTTACCGGTAGCAGCAACGTTGTGCGCCACCCCGCTTGCGGATTTGCTTGTGTGCATAGGGCCATAGAGTAAGCGAGGAGGGCGGGGAATGCAAGCAAAGCCTGTGGCGCGACCCAGAAGGGTGCTCTCGTCGGGGCCACAGCTGGGTCTTCGAGCATTTGGGCACACTCCTCCAAATGTTAGCGAGTGCAGGATAGTCGGACGGAGTGAAGCAGAAAGGGAGTGGCTCGCGCATCTTCTGTGGAAGGAGGTGAGGGTGGGTGGTTGCTGTTATTTAAAGGGGGAGTTATCTTGGTTGCTATAAGAGTTTTACCAAGAGTGAGCGAGGAGGGCGGGGAATGCAAGCAAAGCCTGTGGCGCGACCTGGAAAGGGGCTCTCGTTGGGGCCAAAGCTGGGTCTTCGAGCATTTGGGCACGCTCCTCCAAATGTTAGTGAGTGCAGGATAGTCGGAGTGAAGCAGAAAGGGAGTGGCTCGCGCATCTTCTGTGGAAGGAGGTGAGGGCGGGTGGTTGCTGTTATTTAAAGGGGGGGAGTTATCTTGGTTGCTACAAGAGTTTTAAAAGGTGGTATTGTAGAAATCCGGGGCGTCCGTAATTCTGCCACAGACGGGGGTGGAGTCGGGGAACCACTACCCCAATGCAAAGCTAGGCAACCAGACTGCAACGCCACACGCAGCGCCGATGGGGTTGGACGGAACACCAAGCGCCTGTGTAAACGTTATACCCCTCGGCGCAGCACGTTCCTGCGCCCCTTGCGTTCCCCGCGAGCGAGATCCAGCTAGCAAAGTCGACTTCTGTGCAAACCAACTGGACGAACGGGAGCAATTCGCACGTGAATAATTCGGCTTGCTTAGAAAGAGTCTTTTAACTGAGGAGAGTAAAGGCACGGGTGGGGGAGCAGATGGGTTGGTGATGGCTGTACTATTTTTGACTCACTCCCTCTACCAATGGCTGCCACTTGTTTACAGGCTCCACCCGGTGTGTGGCATCTCTCACGGCAACTAGCCCCACCCAGACTGGGACTACTCTGCGGTCACTGACGATGGCGTCCTTTGAACTGGACCGGGCTGGCCGCTGAATATCAGCCAAGATGGATCTGGTGGGAGGCTGCCTGACTGGGCTATGTAATCGGTGGCTTGGTGCACAGCACCAACTTCAGGCTGCCTGTCCTCCGTCCAGGGACCTCTTAAGACAGCTCGATGTGTCCTTCATGGCGGTACATGGCCATTTCTGGACACAGCCTGGTTTTTATTAGTACTCAAGTGCCTGTACCAGCAACACCAATATGCATCGGCCTGGTTAATTAGTTCAGAGGTCACCAGGGAAATCGAGCCAGCTTTTTAAAAAACAAACGAACAAACAAATTGAAAAGGAAACCTCTTTTGTATGAGGTGAGCAACGACCAAACAGGATCGGAAAGTAGAACTTGGCTGTAAAGCTGTTAGTCGGATGGCCGTGCGTGGCGTTGGCGCACAGGCAGTCTGGCGAAGGTGTGCCCAAATGTGCAGGATAAATGATCCCTTTGGGTAATCCCGGGACAGGCCGCTTGCCCTCTGCAAACGCGATCCACAGTTTGCTCTGGGGAACGGGTAGTTCTGGTATACGTCTGGAGGAAGCAGTGTTTCCTGGATTGAACAATCGGAAGCCCTGGAGCTGTGTGCCAAAGCTCTGCCCGACTCTGCCTTCATTTCAGTGGCCGGCTTGTGCAGATGCAGTGTGAACACCTTCGCCCAATAAAACCCAGTTCCTGAACACATCTGAAAATTCATTTTTCCTTCTCCCCGGCCCCCTCCCATAAAACACCATTCTCAGAAGTCGTTTCGGGCAGTCGAGTCGGAAGCCACCAGGTTTTCGCGCAGATATTTGGCTCCGACCTGTCTGTTGGTCTGTTGCCGTCTCCTATGGAATCCTCTTAGTCGGGGAGAGTGAATGTTGTGCTACTTTGATGGATCACCGGAGCCCCATGATGCCCGTTGCTGGTTGCACCTGTGGCTTGGGGATTGTTAGGGACACCCCCCCTCCTTCCTCAGTGGACAAGAGGTTGCTTCATTAACTTAACAAGCCGGCAGCTTTTGTCTAGCAGGAGGCCTGTCCTTTGACCTCTGGGGATTGACAAAATGCCCAGAATTCCTTCCACGCTGGAGTCCTTAAGGGAAAGGTGTCTTACAATCCCATCTATGCAAAGTCTTTTTTTTTTTTGAAGAAAAAAAAGCAAAACAAAACTCGGTAGCTATTGTCTACAGGGCGATGCGGAATCCGGCGCAAGAGGGTGACTCTCCTACCTTGCTAGGCGTGCCGTGTGGCTGTTATTGTGGGCCAATGGGAAATTCTGTATTTAATTATTATTTTTTAAATCTCACTTTTTTTTATTGAATTGCGAGAGCTTTTTATTCAGCCTTTGTCAAACGATATCACTTTTTTCGGTACTGTTTCGTATTCTTTGGCACTAAAGCGATTGTTTTTCTCCCGAACATTCCTGGGTTATTCTGCATACGTGATCTATGTCCTTTTGCAATGAATGTTGGGAGATTGGCTGGGGGAAACGCTCCCTGCCTTTCACCATCCCCCCCCCCCCCCCCCCCCAATTTTTTCCCCCCCCCACCGCTAACTTATTCCTTTTATTTTGTGTTGGTACCAGTCCCCTCCCCACACCCCAAGGGTGCACTGATTTTGTAAATATTCTACCCTTCCGTATCTGGTGTACAATGTTGCCTGTCTTTACAGTTTTTTTAAGAAGAAGAAAAAAAAAACTGGGTATTTATTGATACAGCCTGTAATTATCTAATGTATTGATTGAAACGTTGGTTCCGACAGCTTTATTTTAGCTCTCTCTTTGTATATATTGTGCTTTTACGTTGCTTCAAAAGGTACGCGTTTAAAAATGCTTTTTGTTTTTACCTTTTCCATTTCCCCCCCGTTTGTAGTAAACACAAACAAAAAATGTCTACGAGCTGCTGTCTCGCATTTCATCCAAGCAATATGAAGAAAAAAAATTCATTACACTTTCAATAAAAAAAACTTTGTTTGGAATATGTTCCCCTCCACCTACTCGTCTTTTTGTTCCTTCTCGGGAATGCATGTGGAAGGGGGTGTTAATAAGACCCTAAGTTATGCTAATGCAAAGATATTTCCCCCCCAAAAAACTCACAGAGTGTTGCTATGGAGAAGGGTCAGGTGAGCGAAATATCCTCTCCCCTATTCACCACTTGCCACCTGGGATTGCCAACTTCTGATTTGTGCCTTTCCGCAGCTGCAAGTGGCGTGAATCGTGGCTGGGCAGGAAGGGTTCATTCTTGGGCCACTGGGCGGGCTGTGGTGGAAAAATGCAGGTGTCCAATTGAAAAACCAAGCCGGGCATACCCATCGGCTGTCCCTTTCCATTTCGAACTGCAGCCCGTCTATCAAAGGCAGGGCCTTTTTTGGAACACGGGAAGAGCCTTGTTGAATCACTCCAGTGGTCCATCTAGTCCAGCATCCTGTCTCATACAGTGGTCCACCAGTTTGTCCTGGGGGTCCAACAATGGGGCAGAGAGGCCACTGATACGACCATAAAAAGAGCCCCGTTGGATCAGGCCAGTGGTCCATCTAGTCCAGCATCCTCTCTCACATAATGGCCAGCCAGTTCCTCTGGAGGGCCAACAACAGGGCAGAGAGGCCAAGGCCTTTGTAAGAATATAAGAAGAGCCCTGCCGGATCAGACCAATGGTCCATCTAGTCCAGCATCCTCTCTCACATAGTGGCCCACCAGTTCCTCTGGAGGGTCAACAACAGGGCATAGCGGCCAAGGTCATTGTAAGAACATAAGAAGAGCCCGGTTGGATCAGACCAATGGTCCATCTAGTCCAGCATCCTCTCTCACATAGTGGCCAACCAGTTCCTCTGGAGGGCCAACAACAGGGCAGAGAGGCCAAGGCCTTCCCCTAGTAAGAACATAAGAAGAGCCCGGTTGGATCAGGCCAGTGGTCCATCCAGTCCAGCATCCTGTCTCACACAGTGGCCAGCCAATTCCTCTGGATAACCTAAGACAGGGCAGAGAGGCCGAAGCCTTCCCCTGATAAGAACATAAGAAGAGCCCTGCTGGATCAGACCAATGGTCCATCTAGTTAGCATCCTGTCTCACAGAGTGGTCCACCAGTTTGTCCTGGAGGGCCAGCAACCAGGGCATAGAGACCAAGACCTTCCCCTGATGCTGCCTCCTAGCCAGAGGTGTTCAGAGGTTGACTGGTCCTGGACATGGAGGTTCCCTTTAGGTGGACCTCTCCTCCATGAATCCGTCTAATCCGCCTTGTGGCTGTCGCTACGGCCTGTGGTAGTGAATTCCACAGATGAATTATGTGTTGTGTGAAGAAGTCCTTTTGTCTGTCCTGAATCTCCTTATCCCTCAACTTGATTGGGCGACTGCCTTTTACGGATGAGAAGAGTTCCCCCTCCATTTGCTCTGTACCAAGCTCGGTGGTGGTTTGAAAAACAAAACTGAAAAGTCACAAACTCTTTATCAGGAAGATACTTCAATCCATCGTTCACTTGGTTCGACCTTTACCGTATCGGTAAGAACAAACATTTATCATATGGCAGTGTGTGTGCGGTACAGCCAGGAGATCCTAAGATTGTCTGGCAGCCGGCAGTTCTAGCTCTTTTAGCATTATGAACCACCAGGTGGTGAGCGGGACTTGTTTTCAAGGCAAGAGATGTCTCAGAGGTGGTTTGCCATTGCCTGCCTCTGCGTCACGACCCTGGTATTCCTTGGAGGTCGACCTTCCAAATACTAGCCAGGCCGACCCTGTCTGGCCACTGTGTGATACAGAGTGTTGGACTGGATGGGCCTTTGGCCTGATCCAACACTGGCTTCTCTTATGTTCTTATGTTCTTATGTTAACTTCATTGGGCTACTGCCTTTTACGGATGAGAAGA